ACCATCCTGGCCAATGTGGTGAAACCCCGTCTCGACTAAAAATACAAAAATTAGCCAGACTTGGTGGTGCACACCTGTAGTCCCAGCTACTTGGGAGGCTGAGACAGGAGAATCACTTGAACCCGGGAGATGGAGGTTGCAGCGAGCTGAGATTGCACCACTGTGTTCCAGCCTGGTGACAGAGCGAGACTCCGTCTCATAAAAAAAAGGAGTGGGGGGGACACTATTGCCCACTTGAAAGGGCCGAGAAGATTGAACAAGATGACCCAGGTAAAGCATTCAGCCTGTGCCTTAGTGCATGGTAGTGGCATGAATGTTTGTGCCCTTCTCAGAGAGTCCTTGTCATGAGATGCATGTACTTCAAACGCGTACTATAAATTCAGCTCTTCTTCTGCTGTTATGTGTGTCATTGCTAGTGCTAGTTATCTCTTTGTAAAGTTGGTGAAGTCGACTGGAGGATGTGACAGCAGCAGGGCTGCAGGTTACAAATGACATAGGGTAGGCCAGATGAGAAGGAAGGGCGGCATCCAGCCTTTGGGCGTAATGCTCAGAGTATGGTCTTCTTACAGCCACTGTGACTGGGCCCACCCTGGATGGTCATAGGTGGCTCTAGAAGTCTACGTTACAGTTGTCTGTTTTAAGTAGTAGGTTCTTGGGATGGGCAGCCACCTCGGAAGACATCTATACTGAGACTCCATCCCTGCTGAAGATTCTGATTGATCCTCTCTTGGGATAGGAAAGGTACTGCCTCCACAGGCAGCCTTGCTAGAAGATTCTGCTGGATGAGTGAGTACACAACATTACACTGAAAACGTCTCCCTCTATGTTCTACTCAGCGAAACCATAGAGGTAAATTCCGTTTCTCCTTTACTAGCACAGCTTATCAGGTATCTGAAGATGGCTCTCATAGACTTTTTGAATTTTCTGTTTTTCAGGCTAAACAATTTTCACTCCTCCTATTCCTGTTATGCGTTTTGGCTAGGACCTTATTCATTTGCTTCAGTGCTGTTATCTCAGTTTCTAATCATATGTTGATTCGTGTGTAATTATCTGATTCGTGTGGGAGCTGTTCATGCTGCATGTCGCAGATTCCCAGTTCTCCCAGCATGTGGTAGAATTGGGCTTTCTTTCATGGGTGTGGATGGGACCATGTGACTGGTTTGACCAATGATTTGTGTATGAAAATGATGTACGTCATTTCCATGCCAGAGCATTTAACTGCCAAAAAGAGAACTTCTAGAACCTTCTTTTCCTCCAGTAGAGTGACTGTGAAGTTCTTTCTAGACATGGCTTGCTCTACCCATCTGGGTCCTCAATGAAGGAAAGAAAAGCACCCCCAATCCCTCCTGCCCCACTCACCCTTGAGGGTCATCTAGTGTGAGTGAAAAATAAAACTTGGTTGTTTCGGGTCATTGAGGTATTAGCTTTGTTACTCAGCGTAACTTCACCCATCCTGATTGATACAGTTAACACTTGGCTTTCTCACTAAATAATCAGCATTCTGCAGTGGGGGTGGTGTGTTTCTCTTCACCTTTTCTCTTCAGTGTCTAGCACAGTACTGGCTCAAAGGAGACGCTCATACTTACTGCGTGAATAAGTAAAATCTGAGGTTTGAATCCTATCTTTATCTTTGTTGCAATTTATTGGACTTGGCCTACTTCATTATTTTTCTTCTAAAATGTAGACTTCCCCCTTCTCCTCCCCAATTAAACACAGCTTTCCAGTTTCGGAGTAATTAAGATGTTTATGTATACGGAGTAATTTGAGATGTTTACGTATACATCTCCAAGTGAGAAAGGAATGGAAACCGGACCCAGCTGGGTCCCGGGCAAAGGGTCAGTGATGGGGTACAGTTGACTTTGTTTCGAACATCTCTATCACAAGCTTGTGTGTTCTTTTGAAGAGCAGGAGAGCATGAACGTGGTCATCCCTGATACATTTCTGTATCCTTACGTAGCTGTTTGACACCATACTGGCATTACTCTTGCTTTTCACTTTTTTTCTTTTTGGCCTTTCAAGAATGAGCCTTCTCAAGTGAACACCATTCCTATAAAATGTCAATCTGTAACTTTTGTACCCTATTGTGACTTTGGGAAGCTGCTAGGTAGGGCTAATACGACTCTCTTTTGAGTCTTGCCGGTAAGTTCTGAATGGCAAAAACCATGAGTTCTTAAACTATCCTAAGTACTGAAAAGAAAGAAAGGTCAGGACTTAGTTGATGGGAAAAAAAATATTGATAATATATTGGTATGTGTATGCATGTGCCAGCAACCCCTGTTTACTGATTACCAACTAAGCACAAAACCACACACTAAGTAATTTGTTGTGCATTTTCTCATTTTATTCCCATGACCACCCAACAAACTTGTACCAGTTGTTATTCTACAATTTTGTTTAAGGAAACCAAGGTCCACAGTGGTTGATGTTGGCATGAATGAATTGGACTTGAATCCAGGTCTAACTCATGTTCATTCTGTTTAAAATAGCTTGTAAGACTTTGACAAAGCCCACCCATTTTTAAGACCTTCAGTTTTAATTTTTAAGAAGGAAAATAATGGAAGATTAGAGAGGCATTTTTTTCTTCCCATCTTTTAGATTATTAGTAAACACTTTTATACACATATGCTGACAGGATTTCATATTCTATTATGCAGCAGATTCCATAATCCTAGGTTATGGTTAATGAGATATTCAAGTTGATTGAAAGAAATGGTACACACAAAAAACAGGTGCCTTCTAATCTAAAGTCTACACTAGCAATGCAGCAAAAAAATCTTGACCACAAGGAGGTTATAGATGTCGCCTAAGATAGGAACTTTCATTTGCCATGCCTTTTTGTGAGTTACTGTGCCAGATGCTTCACAGTTGACCCTTGAACAACACAGGTTTGAGCTGCACAGGTCCACTTATAGGTGGCTATTTTTCAATCAAATGCGGATTGAAAATATACTATTTGAAAAGGATATGAAACCTACTTAGAGGACCAACTTGTTGTGTAAGCGGATTCCACAAGGTCAGCCATGGGACTTGAGTATGCACACGTTTCGGCATATGTAGGCGTTCCTGGGACCAAGGGATGATTGTGTATTGTTATCTTGTTTAGGAGGAAAGATACACCATGAACACAGCTCACAATGACAGTAGGTGTCGAAAGTGCTAACTTACGAGTTCAGGTCAAGACCCTCCACTAGGATGTACAGGGTGTTCATTCCATGGGATACCTGGGTGAGAGGACAAGAAAGAGCTAGAATGCAGCCTGCCCTCTGCCTGCCACCCTGTGTGTCGTGCCACACGATGGCATCCACTCAGAGAAAGCAGCCTTGGCTAGCAGCAGTCTTGGTACAGCCGGGGGAGAGAATACTTCATTCATTTCCCTTCCTCTGACATGTTTTGTGTGCCTTGCATGTGCTAGAGGCTTTAAATAGATTATCTTGTTTAATTAAACCTTTGAAATAACTCTGTGGAGTCTGCGTTATTTGCTCTTCCAGTTTTATGTGTGGTAGGAAAAGGGAAGAACATATGGGGCAAATGAGCTAAATATCGACGATGTGCTTAGACATTTCATCGCAATCCTGTAAGGGTGGGTTTTTATATGCATTTACTTACTTTTCATCAATTTGTTTGTTTTTTAATAGATAAAGAATTGCTTAGAGAGGTTAATTTGTCAGCCTCACTTAAATAGTAAATGACAAGCCCAGGATCCAAGCCCAAGCCTGTCTTGAGTCCAGTGTTCTTGCATACATATCAGTATCAGAATGGGGAAGTACAAAGAAAGACTCCTTTGAGAGATATCTTTTGAATCAGCCCTCTTACTATACACGTGTGTGTGTGTGTGTGTGTGTGTGTGTGTGTGTATATATAGTCTGGTCAGTAGGGCATTGCCATTACCATATGTGAATTAATCAGTTTTCTAAAAAGTAAGATTACATGCAGTTGTCTCAAATTATGCAAAATAAAACAGACTCTTTGACATATAAAACATACTATAATTGTGAGTACTAATAACTCAGAATATTACTGAAAAACTGGAAAGCTCCGTTTTTGTCTTCTGTATTTCCAGGGTCTCACAGTCTATTTGGGAATACTAATGGCTCTCTCAAGGCAAGCCAGGCCCCTTCTTCCTTACGATAAGTGTGGATGGCCAGACATGTTCTGCCAGTTGTCCCAGGTCCCGCTAAAGATTTGACCAATAAAAATGCAAAGCCGGCACGTTGCCCTGAGACGTCTGCTGCTTCCCCCTGAAGCCACTGTGCATTGTCGTGAGGAGATCAGTACGCATGTGCCGTTCTGATCTTTGCACAAATGTTGGAATGCAACAATGCTGGTAGTCTGTCACTAAGGCCGTATGACCTCGAATGAGTGATTTCTCTTCTTGGAACCAGTTTTTTCTTCAGAGAGATGATTTCTGGGCATGAACGAGGAAAGGCCTAAAACCTTTTCCAACTGGGGTCATTAAGTATTTCATAGATGAGTGACTTTCTTAGAAAAAGGTGGCCATGCCCACATCTCAGATGTTTCTCAGAATGTCAAGTAAGTTTGACGAAAATACTTCCGCCCTGGAAACATAAACCATAATATTTTTATAGGAAGGTTTTATATTGTTTATTGTCAACCAAGGAGACTTATCCTAGGGGATGCATCGGAATCAAAGAAGGACTTTGTCAACATCATCCCACCCTGTACCCTTCCTTCCATTAAAACCCACTGCTGGAATAAGACACTGTTTGTTACTGGTGTGTGCTACATGAGTTGGAGCCAAAAAAGGAAGCTCTTTTATATGAAACAATGAATATTACTGAGATATTCAGGCATATATATATATATATATAGTTTCAAAAGTATGTAAAAAGATAAAATTTATCTAATGTTGTAACTTTAATTATAAGACATAAAAATTTTATTTTTTTAAATCTTTCTCCCTTAAAATATGTAAGAGTGTGTGTGTGTGTGTGTGTGTGTGTTTTAAAGAAATCTATACAAGTACTATTTTGACTTATCTACTTAGTATTTCTTGAACTCTCTATTTGAGCTTTCACAGACTTACTGGAGTGGGCTTGTAAAGACAACAAGAAATGATACTTAGTTTTTGTGCTCTAGTATTAGCAATCTGGCATTATATGTTTGCATGATGAAGGTTTGCAATTTCAATTTAGTGGAATATGATATAGTTTTATTCACTAGAACATAAAGAAGTCAGAGACAGAGTTCCATTTTTCACTTGATATTCTAAAGATAATCAGCAGATAACTGAAAGCATGACATGAAACACATTCCTTAAACTTAGGACCTGAGTATCTATATAAAAGGGTACTATTAAGATATTCTTAAGTAAAAACTCTCTGAAATATATCAAAACCAAGAAATGGAGAATCACAGGAAAGGAGGTTGAGTGGCAGTTTTACTTAAGAGCAGGCATATGCCAGTGCCTCCATGAAAAGAAGAGACCCACCCAAGGGAATAGCTATCCTCTATCCTTTTTTTGTTTTGCTGCTAACAAGCTCAGTGGTGTATGTGCATCTTCCTTTTGTTCCCACGCCTGCCTTTGGATAATCTCACAGCTAAACAGCCAGGGTCACTCGGTCTTATCCTCCCATAATTACACAAAAAACCTTGGATCATTGCAGAGATGGCACTTGTTGGAACTGATCCGTACAGCCAAAGCGTACAGTTGAAATGCTTCCCTCCTCTGTCTTTTTCCCTTCCAGCCCTGTGTTTTGGTTGCATGGCAACCCATCTGCCATGATAGCTGATGTCAGCTCATTTTCACTTAAACTTAGCCCAGGAAAGTTTTCAAGGAAGACATTTGGGCTTGTATAACGCTGGGGAAGGCTCGAGTTGTGTTACCGTATCGTTTGTAAAATTGCAGACTAATGCGCTCAGGGAGGCTAAATGGAAATGTGGATGTAAGAAGGGATTAGCTTCTGGAACAGTGTGGCCTTAGGGACTTTGTTTCTAACTTCTAGGGGCTTAGTAAATGTGTGTCTGCAGTATTCTTTCTGCTGCTAAAGGGCTTTCTTCACTTTAAAAGGAATAAGAAGTGTTCAAAATTACCCTACCTCCTGAAAATTAGAATTTAGCCAAATACTTGATGTTGACTCCTTTGAATAAAGGATCACCATTTTAACGAGATGCATAAGCATCAGTTGGGAGGAAAGAGAGTATTTTATCATTGGCAGGAATTTTCTAGTGTATATATTGACAAGTGAAAACACATTAAAACTTCTTATATCCAGCAGAGGGCAGAAGGGAGTTTTAGCTATGGCTTACCCAAGACTCTCCAAACAGAATTGTGACAATCCAAGGCAAAATTCAGTGGCACTTTTGTAGACAGATTATCTCTAGGTTGTTAATGCACAAGTTACCCTGATTAGATAGACATGTCTTAGCTGGTGGGCTCAAAACCGGTTTTCTTCTGTCCAGGACAAAAGGATACATAGGATTTTGAGTTAGTTGTGCCTAAGAGGAGGCAGCAGTGTGGTACTCAAATAACAATATAGCTTTAATAGATTCAGATCTTACTTACTAACCACAACACAGCATTTCACAGTGTTTCTCACGTATATTTATGGTATTCTGAATGCTAGAATGAAAGAATGTTTGAAATAATGAGTACACTGTTTCATTATCAAATATATCTCACTGAAACTGACTGTTCTGACATGTGAGTTCATAAAATAATGAAAATGATTTTCACAACCTAACCTGAATCTGAGAAATCAATTTTATCCTTTAAAGCAATAACCAAAACGTAGGGTGGTAGTATTTCTTTACCTGGCAAAGATGAGGTTAATATTAAAAGATAATGACATTTGAGAAACGGATCTTTGTCTTGGCATTTATAAGAACTCTCAATCCAGATTAAGTTTGGCTTAAAAAGAAAACATATTTTCCATGCTGAAGACAGTTTTTGCTTGGGGAGTAGGTAGTATCTTCTGTTTTGCTTAGATAGTATTTAGTATGCTGGGTTTCTCGGGAAGCAGCTTCTGAAATGGAGTTAGGATGTTTATGAGGCAGCACCCTTGGGATCTACACCTGTCGAAGTGGGGAAGGAAGCAGGTTCAAGTAGGAGAAGCTGAGCTTCCCTGCAGGCGCATCATTCGCCACAGCCAGCCCCACTGGGAACTCAGTTTGAATGGCCCTTCAGAGTATCCTGAGCTGGGACACTCCCACACCAATCATTTACTGGATGTGCACCTGCAACCCCCATCCCAGCCACAGGACCTGACCTGGTGAAGACGGCCTTCTGCAGCTGAGACAATCCTTAAGGGATAGCATTTAAGCAGCTGGCATAAGTCCTTTATTGAAGAGGGACCTGGATGCCATATCACAGTGCAGATAGTGTGAGAAACAGCCAAGAAGTCAGGTTTGCTGGATGTTCTTTGTGGTGAATTGTTGACACTATAATCTTGGCTGACTTACGGTTTTAAAAAGAAAATGATAACGTGCCATATTTCTGTGTGTAAGGAAATGGTACTAAATAAAAGACTTTTTCATGGTTCATGTGGTTTGGAAAATAGGATTTTAAAGAGTGAAAACGAGCACAATTTAATAAATGAGCGTTAAATTTTAAAGTATAATTGTTTTAGTTCATTCAGGCTGTTATATCAAAGGACCTAGACTGAGTAGCTTATAAACAACAGGGATTTCTTTCTCGCCATTCTGGAGGTCAAGAAAGCCAAGATCAAGGTGCCTGCAGATTCATTGTCCGGTGAGGGACGGCTTCCTGGTTCATAGAGGGCTGTCTTCTCGCTGTGTCCTCACATGGCAGAAGGGGTGAGGAAGCGCTCTGAGGTTTCTTTTATAAGGCTACCAATCCCACTCATGAGGGCTCCACTCTCACGCCTAATCACCTACCACCTATTAGAGGCCCCAGCTCCTAATACTATCACATTGAAAGTTGGGATTTCAACATGTGAGTAGGGGGCACAAACATTCAGAGTGTAACGATAATAGTAACAAAACACGTGCATATGGTTTATTTGATTTGGGATTCTCCTATGACGAGTAAACTATGAATTACAATGAATAATGGAATATTATAATCATTTGTGGTAGGTCTTTATGATCTTTGGGGAAACGCTGTTAAATAAATCACAGGATGATGCTGGTAGTTTGTCAGCTAATCAAGCATAAGCACATATATAATGAAGGAGGGAAAACGTATATGTTGTTTATGGAACAATCATTTTAGTCTAGCCTTTAAGTATTTATGTTAATTCATTCTATCTATTAATGCTATCCACCTATTAATTTCATGCATTCGTTCCCTTATCATTTAGTCATAGCTTCAATTATGTTCCTACTGCATGTGCGGAGTCTTCTATGCCTGCTTAATACATGAGACATGGTTCTCAAAAGGACTCACAATCTCATCAGAAATCACATTCGTTAATGTCACCGCCAGTTTAATCAGAAACGTATACAATTCGGGAAGCTGTCACGCTCACGGTGCGGAATTTTCTAAATTTAATTTTCTCTTAGAAGTTTCAGTTTTATCATTGGCAATAAATATTGTCAGTAGTTTCCTTGAAGCCAGGCTCATTTTGTTCATTTTTGAAGCAAATGTCTGCCGAATACCCAAATCTCAATAGCCCATAGTTTTCCATTGTTCTTTAAAGTAAAAGTGGTGTTCCATGAACAAAGAAGCTAGTTCAGCTCACAACTCAGTTACGTGAGTGCTTTTCCTGAAAACAGATTTCCCATTTCAGTATAAGGAAGAGAGGTTTTATGGTTACTGCCATTTCCTCACACAGACTATTAGGAAAATAATCTTTCTAATGGCTCAAAGGTTGAGATTCAATAAAATAACTTATTTTTCTTCATCAAGGATTTTCTTAAGTAAAACTGGGTTTTTAAAAAAATTGCTAATGCATGTCAGTGGTAAAGGATCTACTGACTGCTAGTAGAGTTTGGCATCAGTGTCTTGGCTGCTGCTAAAGCACTGGGAGTTTTATCCTCCGTTGTTTTTGTGCCATTAGTACAATGGCAACACAGTAAAAAAGTCAAACAAGACTGGGCATGGTGGCTCATGCCTGTAATCCCAGCACTTGGGGAAGACGAGGTAGGAGAATTGCTTGAGACTAGGAATTTGAGACCAGCCTGGGCAACATAGCAAGACCCTGTCTCTTAAAAAAAAAGTCGAACAATGTGTTAGTATTATTATAAAGAGAGTTATGAACTCATTACCCCTGAAAATGTCTCCAGCCCACACTGAGAACCGCTGGTACAACGGAAAGTGAAGTGCGAAGAGCCTGGGGAAGGAAAACTGCTTTGGCAAGAGATAAAAAAGGCCGAACCTCCTATGATGGCAGGAGAGATGGAGAACAGGGAAGGAGGTGAGAACCCTGGCAGAGGTTTCATGGAAAAGATTTGGCAGTAGAAGGGCAGCAAAGAGTTGAAATGTACTGAGGTTTTCAGTCTGCACGACTGAGTGGATGGCAATTCCGTTAACTGAGATGATGACTGGGGGAAGAAGGGCCCTGGTTTATTATTGAAAATGATACTGCTTTTCACTAAGAGAGAAAAATCTATCATAATTCTTCCATTTGGAAAAGGGTGGATTCTAGCACTAGTGTAAAAGTACCGTTGACCAGATCTGTGCAGCAGCCTGAGATCTGATTTTGTACTGATAATGAATTTTGGTTCTTGGAACCTCAGAACATTCTGTATTCATGCATAAGACTCTTTATGTCTGTGCTTCCTATAATAATGTTGTTTTTTTTTCCTTTTTTATTTCTAGGAATGGTGCAAAAGCTAGACCAAAAGCTTCCAGTGGCTAATGAGTACCTGTTGCTCTCTGGAGGTGTCCGGGAAGGCGTGGTGGACCTGGACTTAGACGAGCTTAATGTCTATGCCCGGGGGACTGACTATGATATGGACTTTACCCTCTTGGTGCCAGCCCTCAAGCTGCATGACCGTAATCAGCCTGTGACACTCGACATGCGCCACTCAGCCTTGTGCCACTCTTGGCTGAGCCTTCGGCTCTTTGATGAGGGGACAATCAGTAAATGGAAAGACTGCTGCACCATTGTAGATCACATCAATGGTGCCACCAACTACTTCTTCTCACCTACCAAAGTGGCTGACTGGTTCTTTGATTCTATCAGCATTGTCCTATCAGAAATACAGAAGAAACCCCAGCGAGGGATGCCAAAGGTGGAGAAGGTAGAAAAAAATGGGACCATCATCTCCATCATTCTGGGTGTAGGGAGTAGCCGCATGTTGTACGATATTGTCCCTGTGGTGTCTTTCAAAGGTTGGCCTGCGGTGGCCCAGAGCTGGCTCATGGAGAACCACTTTTGGGATGGGAAGATTACTGAGGAAGAGGTCATCAGTGGGTTTTACTTGGTGCCTGCTTGCTCCTACAAGGGTAAGAAGGACAATGAATGGCGGCTGTCCTTTGCCAGGAGCGAGGTGCAGTTGAAGAAGTGCATCTCCAGCAGCCTCATGCAGGCCTATCAGGCCTGCAAAGCCATCATCATTAAACTGCTGTCCCGGCCCAAGGCTATTAGCCCCTATCACCTGCGGAGCATGATGCTCTGGGCCTGCGACAGACTTCCTGCCAACTACTTGGCGCAAGAAGACTATGCAGCCCACTTTTTGCTGGGCCTCATCGATGACCTGCAACACTGTCTGGTCAACAAGATGTGCCCCAATTATTTCATCCCTCAGTGCAACATGCTGGAACACCTGTCTGAGGAGACAGTCATGCTTCACGCCCGGAAGCTGTCCTCTGTGCGCTCAGACCCGGCAGAGCACTTGCGCACTGCCATTGAGCATGTCAAGGCAGCCAACCGGCTGACACTGGAGCTCCAGAGGCGAGGTAGCACCACCAGCATCCCCTCCCCACAGTCAGACGGAGGGGACCCCAACCAGCCTGATGACCGTTTGGCAAAAAAACTGCAGCAGCTAGTGACTGAGAACCCGGGAAAGTCCATCTCTGTCTTTATCAATCCTGACGATGTCACAAGGCCCCATTTCAGAATTGATGACAAATTTTTCTGAGTGTTAGCTGACTTTTTTTTTTTTCCCTGGTTCTTAAACTCTGATAATGTGTCGTGTTGGTTTATGATGCTGTCTTTCTGTTTTTTACATATCCAGCCTAGATTGGATTTGTTAAGAACAAATTTTAAGTTTCCTGGTTCTGCAGGATGGTGCAGGCTCTGAAACAGTATATTACTATTTCATATTCTGCTTCTGATTTCATTGTTTACTTTTTGTAGTTATTGTCATGCTCTTTAGTTTGTTGGAGTTTTTTTTCTTTTTAAGGAGATCTTGAGCCATAGATGAAAATGCCCATGAGTCCTCTTGCTGTTTTCTGTTTCATGCTTGGTGCAGATTTGTTCATGGGTATGAGGAAACAAATCTCTGATGCTTAACGATTCTATTGTATTATTTTTATTATTTTGCTTTTGTCTTTTTTTCTTGCGAGCTTTCACCACTACTGATATTTGAGAATCATATGAACCTGGGAACTACCTGGCGTGTTAGCTGGATTTATTTATTTTGACCAGTGACCAGAGTAGCTTCCCCCTTTTCCACCAAACAATGTAAACTTTGAAAGTGATAATACTACAAATTGTGTTTTGGAGCAACTTCATTGAATGTAATTGTCCTCAAATCAGAGAACACTGGGTGGTTGGAAGGGTGTGTTTGAGTTTTCCAAACAGAATTACGGTTTCCAAATGTTAGTTTTAGCATATGTAATTATTTGAAGCCTTATTTAAATCCTGTTAAAGAACATACCATTATAATTATTATTTGCACTAATCTTTGCCATTGTCAGAACTGCAAAGTGTGTTTCAGTATAAATTAACAACCACTCTTGAAATTCTATCATTTTTTCATTTTGCCCATTTCTCTCGATCAGTGGAATGCTTCTTTGCATTTGCCTCGTTCTCCTTCAATAGTGGGGTCCTGTTTTACCCTCTTTGATATTCCTGATTCCTGTCTTACTGAGAGAAGTTTTTAAAGCTTTATACATGTTGACTCCATCTAAAGCTGGGGAAGATACATACTGGATAAAGTAGGTGTCTTTGTATTTATTCCTTTTGGGGTCGTCGAGGTAAGCTTTTTTTGTAAAGTCTCTAACTCTTCCTGAGAGTTTTGAGGAAAACTGGCGGGAAGAACTTATAATCCCCAAATATAAGGTACCACGTTTGTTCAAAAGCAGGTATTGCTATAGAGCAGGAACCAGGAAATATCTGTGGGTGCAATCCTTGGTCTAGAGGTGTCCTGTCTTCATGAATGAAGTTACTTGCCTGATTTCGGTGCTGTAAGGCATTGGCTCCCTGTTTTCATATGGACTCATGGCAAACTGGTGTTTAAGAGGTCAGGAGGCCTGCTGATCTTTCAAAGGACACCCATGATGTCTACTCATGGAAAGGTCAAGCAACGTGTTCATTTTGGTCTTGAATGTCCAAACTCATGGGTTGGATTTCGGCCAATTGAAATCAGACATATGCGATCTTGGGTTTTTGCATGGAAATTAATGTAATGCTTATAAATGAAAATGAAAACATTCAACCATCTAAGTCAAACACAAAAATAATAATAAAAAAGGAAACATACTGGCCTTGAAATTTTGTTGTTGTTGTTAGTTTGTAATCTGGGAATTATTTTCTTATTAGTATTAGTATGTTTTCTTATTAGTATTATACTAACAGCAGTTTTCAATAAATGCAGCCATGGACTTGCTAGTGTCTTTCAGACCAGTTGTCCATATAGTGAACATCCAACATTCAGTCTTCCTCGTTCCCCAGTTTTACTACTAGTGTCTATCCTCCACATGATCCTTGTCCTTCTCAGGAAGTGATTTCATCCCCAGCACTGGAAACGCATCATAATTGGAAAAGCCGATCTGCACAAACCATCTCCCTGGCCACAACATTAACAAGGGACACAGGACGTAAGCCGCTCCAGTCAGGGCCATGCTCAGCGTTCCAAGTTGGAATGCCGGGACAGAAACATACACTCTCCCCGATATGGAAGAGAAAGCATTTGGATTCTTTTGCTACTGACAACTATCATGCAATCTTTATTTATTTATGTATTTATTTATTTTTCATATACTTTAAGTTCTGGGTTACATGTGCAGAACGTGCAGTTTTGTTACATAGGTACACACACGTCCTGGGTGGTTTGCTGCACCCATCAACCCGTCACTAATGTTATCCCTCCCCCAGCCCCCTACCCCCCGACAGGCCCAGGTGTGTGATGTTCCCCTCCCTGTGTCCATGTGTTCTCATTGTTCAACTTCCACTTAAGGGTGAGAACATGCGGCGTTTGGTTTTCTGAGCTTGTATCAGGCAATCTTGGCTAGAGCTAGCTTTAGGATGACGCTGACATTGGATGGCGTTATGGGAGCTGGGAATTAAAACATGACCCACCACACCCTCCAAGTCTTAGATCTCTCCTCCTCTAGACTTCCTAGTGAAATGAGTTAACACCTAAATTATTTTAGCCAGTTTGTTGTTGGCTCATCAAAATATTTAAACTGGTATACCAAACTACTTCAGTATATTTAAACTATTGCACTTGTCGTGTGCCTCTTTTCTTTCTTGGGATAGGTATCAGGGTTACCATGTATTTTATCTAAGAGCTAGTTTATGCTATCCGATTTGATTAATTAAAAAAGCCTCTATAATAACTATGCTTCTGCTAACTCCTGTTAAAAATGTATCATACTTTGACCATTACATTACATTTTGTAGATTAAAATAGTTATAAACCATCAAAGTAGCAAGCATATTACAGCAACTGTTCCTTTAAACTATAAACTACCATAACTATTCTCTGAACTGGTGTCTCACATACACTTAGCAATATTTGCAATATTTTAAGTGCCGTGTTTTCAGATAAAATTCCATTACAGGCCAAAAAAAACCAAAACTGGTTTCAAAGATCCTCTTGACCCTGGTTTTGTTTTGTTTTGTTTTTTGTTTTGTTTTTGCCACTTCTAGTCCTAGTGAAGATCACTGTACAAATTCTTGGTTAAACTTATCAAAAAAGGTCCAAAGGCCTCTGGGCTCTAGTAATTTAAAAATCCTTTAAACAATTCCTGGAATTTCCTATTGGTACCATAACGTAGGACTTTTGGCTCAGATGTTGAGAGGGGTAGAAATGGGATGTAGTCCAATACCTTTTCTTATCTGAAATTTAAGCAAACCATTGAGTTACTAACCAGTCTGTCCTTCTGAAGTTCAGAAGATTGGTTAAAATCACCTCTGTTTCAAGCACAGAATACAGTGCCTTGAGGCTGGAGTCATAATTTTAACATGATACATGGCTGACTTTTTGATCAGGGGGGATTTATAAGCTATTACTCAACAGGCCTTCAGTTCTCCAATGAGACCTTGTTTCACCTATTTTGAGAGTAGGTTATTCTCTGTCCTCTGGCTTTCTCTTCTGAAATGGAAGATCCAAAGATGCCAGTAAAGGTTGGCTTAGAAGTGGGTAGAGCCAGGACCAGACATTTTAAAAATATTTCTGAAATTACAGAATTATTTCAGAGAAAACAAGAGCAGGCATATGTGGCTAATCTTACTTCTGTGTGGAGAGGTGGGAAAAGTGGAAAGGAGGGTAAGAGCCCCTAGTCACTTGTGTACCGTAGGCACACACGCACATACATGAGTGTGAGCACACACACACGTTTTTATGTCACCAATTGGAGGTTTCTTTGGGGTGACTTTTATGATGCACTTCCTTGAAGAATTAAGCCCCCTGGTCATAACTAAACGTTGGTGGTTTGGAATCGGATCACTGCCTCACCAAGAGGAATTTTCTGAGTTGGAGTTCAGCCTTTGCTGGTAATGCTGGGAAGGAAAAGGAGGTGTGTTGAGCAGCGGTGCTGGTCTCCCAGGGCCTGGGGGGCTTCCTGTGTCTTCAAAGCTCAGCAGTGGTCTTTAGAGAAGGTGCAGGTGCCTCAAGTTCCATCCGGGTAAGCTCTCTCCAGAACCTCTTTCCCTGAGTCACTGAGGGGCTGTTTGACTGTCTCAGGTAAGCATCTGGGAAACGCTTTCTTCACTCTCCCATAGTCTTGCCTAGAGGATAACCCTTTCTGTCATTAAATGGAGCACTAGCTACTACTTACATTAAAGGAAGAATAGGGATCAATCTCTGTTGCTGTTTCTTTATTAACGTCAGGTAAATACAAATGTATTTTTTAGATTATTACAGGGATGTAATCAATGCCCCTCTTTGAGGAAAACAGTTAATTTTTAAAATGTACTTCTTGGCCAGGCACGGTGGCTCACGCCTGTAATCCCAGCACTTTGGGAGGCCAAGGCGGGTGGATTACCTGAGGTCAGGAGTTCAAGACCAGCCTGACCAACATGGCGAAACCCCGTCTCTAATAAAAAGGGCAGAAATTAGCTGGGTGTGGTGGCAGGTGCCTGGAATCCTATCTACTCAGAAGGCTGAGGCAGGAGAATAGCTTGAACCCAGGAGGTGGAGGTTGCAGTGAGCTGAGATCATGCCACTGCACTCTAGCCTGGGTGACAAGAGTGAGACTCCACCTCAAAAAAAAAAGAGGCAACTCTTATGCTGTAATTTCTTCAACAGTTAAACAGATAATGTATAATCTAAACACTTTAGAATAAATATTCACCAATGGAGAATTACTTACATATCTAAAATTCTACCTTATGTTAATTACCTGGAAAAATTATTTTTTAGGACTGAAGCTGTAATAATTTACAATAGTCTTGTTTCTCTATGCCCATTTCCAGTGCTATTCTATTAGCAATGAGTTCAAAAGCAGCATGTTTCATAAACCATTTCCTATATCACACTGAAATTTTATGTTGATTTAATGTGACTGTTTTTCTGCGTTTGAATCGACAGTTTTTCTCCGCGGTTGGGTCTCGACATTCAGTGATCATCAGAGAGACCGTGTGACTGGGTTTGTGTGGTTAAGAATATGCAAGAAATCTCAGAAAAGTCTAATGTTAACCATCATGTAAATACACGGTTGTTCAAAGATGTCTGAAGACATATGTAGCCGTAATTTGGTATGGCAGCTAAGATGAGAATGTTTGCCCTCTGGACCACTCTCCCTCTCTTTTCTAGATGAATGGACTCCTAATGTGACCTTGGTGAGGGTGCATTGATATATTTTTCACTTGCCATTTTCTGCCTCGCCATTAGTCACAGAAGATAAAAGGGGCTAACTTTGGTTGTAGTTGAAATTTTGTTTCTTTGATTTTATATCCTTATCCATAAAATGTGGGTTGGGGTAGCTGTTCTAGCTTTTACTAAAATTGCCTCAGTTTCCAAATTAACCTCAAGTTTAGATCTATACATCTATCTACACACTTGGAACATTCATTTTGACAGAATCTTATTTTTAAAAATCTTACTAAGTTGCACCAACACCTACAGTGGGGCAGAGGAAACATTGAACACCTGCATGTACAGTTCTTGTTAGATGCTTTATATTCATGAGCCTATTTAAGTATCACAACAACTCTAAACACTGTGAGTCTAAACTTCAAGACTCAGGAATTAGGTAACTTGTTCAACGTCACATAGGTAATTAAGTGGTAGGGCGGAGTCAGTGCTTGAACCCATTTGTTTGTCTGTTTCAAAAATTACGAACTTTCTTCTGTGTTATCCTGCCTCTGGTATTAGAATCTATTTTTATTGTTTAGGAACAATTCTGTTATGTACCTGCATAGGGGGCGCTGCATTCAGGTAACAGGTAAACCTTGGACTGTGTTCTGATGACAGAACCCTGAGTATTTCCAGAACTTTTCATCAGCAGAATAGATGGATCATTTAAAGAATGCTAAGAGAAGATAAATGACCATTTATGGAAAATTTTCTGTTTAGGGCAAGGAAATGGACCAAATGTCTCTATCATTTTAATTTCTGAGCTCAGAGGAGTAGGCAGTAGAACTGTTACTATTAGCAAAATACTACTCTTTTTAAAGATACAGGGAGAGAGGTATTTACGAATTAGCTACAAATGAAAGGTATGACAACTTTAATGGATCTTTCAGCTGGCCTTGATGTAAAAATGAAATACATGTAAATAGACCACTTGTATTTTTAAAACACTATTTCTGTAATTTAAAGGGGGTTTTTGAATATTTTTTGGATATGATACCTTTTAAAAATTCCGAGCATTTGTAGACTTTGGTAGACTAAACCCACTACAAAAATCTTACTGCTTGCATTTTATAAATCTATAATTTACATTAATACTTTTTAATAGAAATTGGAATCTCAAACTAGTTTTTCCAGACTATCACCAAACTGAAGATTGAGGTGTGGTTTGAATGATGTCCTAGGTGATTGACCCAAAAGGCAAGACAGCATTCCTTGGTTATGATAGTTGAAGCTACCCTGAGATAAACAGAAGCTTGTTTCTGATCCTTGTTCCTTCCAGCCTCAACACGGCCTATGCTTGGAGGACCAAAGCAAGTATCTGCTATCATGAGCCAAACTCTTCATTTATGGGAATTAATACATCTAGAGAAACTTCCCATCTCACAAGATAATAATGATTAAAAATAAAGTCAGACTCATCTGATCTTTTGTGGTGATGGGCAGGTACTTTCTATAATGATTGTTGAAATTT